ACATACATACACTTTGTACACCTGCAGTTTCCCACAAGCCTTTCCGCCCCTGGCCAACACCAGCATTGGAAGACTGCGTCCTTGTTTGTGCACGCTCCCGGTTACATATTTGCACTTACACCCCACGATCCCACGCTTCAATGAACAAACACTCCTTCCAGTCGCTCACTTTGAACTGGTTTATGAACTTGCCTGCTGCTTCTTTCAACCCTACCGCAGAGCTTGCATGTCTAAGTCGTCCCTCGTAGTGACAGCGCAGTCGTTTGCATATCTGACCTCTTTATATGCTCACCGATCCCTCTGCTTCAACGTTAACTGCGGGTGTAGGCTATGATGTCAGGCTTTGAAATAAGACCCGATTGGAAAGACTGGGATGACCTGGCTATTCGCGTCTCCTACCTTCCGCCCACGGTTACAACCCTCGACCTGGCAACGCATTTCCAGAAATTCGGCAATATTGTTTATATCGACATCTCTGAGCCGGGCAAGGACAAGGCTCTTGTTCGCTTCTCGCCCCCTCCGTCTGCCGCGTGCTGGAATGAGCAGAATTATGTCATGGAGATCGGCGGACAGAAATACAGAGTTGCAGTGGTCTTACTATCACGCAGGCAACCTGAGAACATTCTGACCCCAGGTGGACGCATCTATTCCCCCCAGCTGAAGATTGAGGCCTCTGAGCTACAATTTGGCGTGCTTGCTCAGCCTGACGAGTTCATGGCTATGAGAACTGTACAGAGCACGCCCGAAGACCGTTTTGAATTTTGCCTGGATTTGAAATCTCGCAAGCTTGATATCACCTTTTCTTGTGTCATTGCGGACCCTCGCAGGACACATCCGACGCTTAAACATCCGTCGCCTGTCGGGGAGCGAGAAGGTAGATCGATGTACAAAGCCCGCATCTTCTTCTCTCAACTCGCGAATCTCTTAGTACTAGATGAAGACGATGCATCATTCTCTGTGCTAATCCCACTTCAAAGTCCGCCACTTTTCTTTAAGAAGGGCGAGACTGATCGATCACACTCCGAGCAAAGATCTTCATGGAAGGACTGGGATGCGTGGAACCGGACCGTGGATGTGGTCTATGACACAACATGGTTCAAGGACGACAGCATCTCGCTCCAGGCAAAGCAACACTTTATTGATATTGGACGATGGATGACATACAAGGTTACCTTCCCGACATCAGAGTCTAACTTCACGGTATGGGAGACGATGCGAAAGGCATTGCAGGATTTCAACATAGCAATCCGGGGGATTGCTGTCGATACTTTTCGTACTGTTCTGCCAGTGAAGTCGGACTTTTGGAATACCCTGGAGCCGATTGGGGCCGGAGGGAATCTCGCATTGCTTGCCGCAACTGAGGAGGTTCATCTTCCCTACAAGGTGCGATACCAACTCGAAGTGTGCATTTCGCAAGGACATCTCAACGAGGTCAACCTTAGCTCTGGTTTTCTTCGCAAACTTACCAATCTCTCCAATATGGGCAAAAAGCAAAGGAATCGTGCGAATGACCTGCTCACTTACGTTGCCGAGTCGGACGGCCCCGGCGAAAAAGAAAACTTGGGGCTTTATCCCAAGAGATTCTACGATCCAATGTCACTTTTCCAGGATAGGAGGGCATCAAGTTTCTACCCAGAGCTCGGAATACCCTCGCACTGTGCCTGGGTCAGAAAAGTGGTCATAACACCTTCTACGATGTATCTGAGTACCCCGAACCCCGAACCTTCCAACCGAGTTTTGCGTCATTACGCTCGATATTCTGATCGCTTCTTGAGGGTTCAGTTTACCGACGAACTTGCGAAAGGTAAAATCTTCTCCTCGCCTAGGAGCAAGCAACAGAATCCCCTATACAACAGAGTATTTCGCACGTTGGCGAATGGCATCAATATAGGTGGCCGCCACTTTGAGTTCCTTGCTTTCGGAAATTCCCAGTTCAGGGAAAACGGAGCCTACTTCTTCGCACCTACCGACCATATCGACTGCGATCAGATTCGAGAGTGGATGGGAGATTTCACACACATCCGAGTCGTAGCTAAGTATGCAGCCAGATTAGGACAATGCTTTTCCACTACCAGAGCACTCACAGATAGTCCAATCAGCCAAAGCGTGGAGGAAATCGACGATATTTTTAGAAATGATTGGTGCTTTACTGATGGAGTCGGGAAGATCTCGCCAAAGCTGGCTGAATATGTTGTTAAGCCCCTCCGATTAACAAGACATATTCTCCCATCGGCTTTTCAATTTCGGCTTGGCGGTAGCAAGGGATTGCTGGTCGTCTGGCCTGACATGACTTTCAATAAACTCAGTTTGCGACCATCCCAAAAGAAGTTCAAGGCTCAGTCTACACTTCTTGAGATCATTAAACCGTCTCGTTTCTCGGCAGCAACGCTAAACAGACAAATAATTACCATCCTTAGTTGCCTAGGTGTTCCTGATGCTACCTTCATGCGACTGCAACAAGAACAGCTGGTAGATTACGACAAGGCTATGGAGGACCCGGTGACAGCTATGCGTCTACTCAGCATGTTTGTGGATCAAAATGGCACAACCACAAAGATGGCTCAAATGATAGGCGATGGCTTCATGCGGGCCAAAGAGCCATTTTTCATGTGTGTCCTTCAAGTATGGCGAGCCTGGTCGTTGCGACTGCTTCGTGAGAAAGCCCGTATCGTAATTGAGCAGGGCGCTTTTCTATTTGGATGTGTCGACGAGACTTGTACGCTTCGTGGCTACTCCGAGGCACGAACTTCCACTGCGGGAGAGTCCTCATCCAAAGGTGCTTCAAAACAGATGCTTCCCCAGATATTCCTTCAAGTGCCGAGACCGGGCGCGTCCCCAGACAATCCGAAAAACTACATGATTGTAACGGGGCTCTGCGTCGTGGGCCGCAATCCGTCTTTGCACCCAGGAGATATACGTATCGTAGAGGCTGTGGACGTACCTGGACTTCAACACCTGCGCAATGTCGTGGTATTTCCAGCAAATGGGGACCGTGATATTCCATCCATGTGCTCTGGCGGAGATCTAGACGGTGATGATTTCTTCGTTATATGGGATTCCAACCTTATTCCGCCGGAACAAGATCATCCGCCGATGGTCCATGAGCCAATACAGCCAGTAGAGGTTAATCGAGACGTGCGGCGGCGTGACCTCATTGCGTTTTTCGTCACCTACATGAAGAACGACGCTCTCAGTACCATTGCTCATGCACATCTGGCTCAGTGTGATCAACTCGAAGGAGGACCAAAACACCCAGACTGCGTGAAGCTAGCTCATTTGCATTCTAATGCTGTCGACTATCCCAAATCCGGCTCGCCTGCGCACCTCGAGGAATCTTTGCGCCCGAGAAAATATCCTCACTTCATGGAAAAACCAGGCAAGTCATATTACTCTAGAAAGATACTCGGGCAACTCTACGACGTTGTCAAGAAAGTAGAGTTTCACCCTAGCTACAATGCCGCCTTTGACGAACGTATCATCCGGCGATTCGCATTGACGGACGATGTATTAAGAAAGGCGAGAATCATCAAGGGGCAACATGACCGGTCGCTCAGGAAGATCATGAACCAACGTGAGATCAACACGGAGTTCGAAGTCTGGAGCACGTTTGTGCTGGATAAGCCGCGTGTGGGCAGTGACTACATGATGCAGGAGACGATGGGGCCGATCATCGCTAATCATTGCGAGCGGTTTAGAAATGCATGTATTCGCGTGGCAGGTTCGCGCGAGCCTAGGATTCTATACCCGTTCATCGGGGCTGCTTATCGTATCACCTGGGAAGCTGTCCAGATGGCCATTGGTGAAGCTAATGGTCGTGCTGGTGATATGACTGGGGCCCAGTCGATGCCATTCATCAGCTTTCCCTGGATTTTCGAGCAGGAGCTAGGCCGTATCGCTAACCTCGAGGGAGACTACGAGTTGGACAGCTTTCCGGAGGTCACCGCGGGTGCCTTTGGGGGTGAGGATGAGGATGGTGAGACTGAGTATGAGCGGCTTCTCGGTCTTGGCATCTTTGCTCCGGTACTGGAGGAAATCGAGGGAGAAGAATTGAGCGTTGGGAGAAGTGGAGATGCTGTCTCTTCTTCCGAGTCTGCTCAGCCAGCAAAGGAGGTGGTTGTACTGGAGGCGGTTGAGACGGGTATGGACGAGTTGGAGAATTTGTTAGATGATTGACATCGACAAAGCGACTGAGACAGCTGAACGGAGAAGAATATGCCGCTAGTCTACAATGTCAGGTACCTAGCATCTGTTAATCAGTGGTATTGGTGTATGAGTGTTTGTCAGCTCCAACTGATTGTTGCGAGGCGGACAAGATAAGAGTCGCTTTCAGCATCTGGGTTCTGACGCCTCCGAGGAGGCGATCTAGAGAAAAAGGAACGTAAAAGAGGAAGGAGAGAGAGAGATCGTCCATCAGACTTGAAGTATATGTGGGTATTCAGTCTTTAAGAGTCCTTGGGAAGAGAGCAGTCACTTGGAGAGCGGGTGAGACTGCCAACGTCCGGACACCCTTGGGGGACCCAGCCATTTTAGTTCTTATTTTCCCAAATATATCAAAAGTTAGCCCACTAACCGCCGCTCATTGTTCGCTTTTATTCGTTTTATGTTAGGTACTAGAAAGTGTTATATTGTTTGCGGGTCGACATGCCAGCCCGTTTAACACGCAAGAGTTGCAAGAAACCTTATTCTACCCATACCACATGTGCCGTGGTTTGGACTGCCATTTTGGCTGGCGTAAGGCTTCACATCTCAGCAGTCCAGACCACTACGCTAAGTACAATACCATTGGCACGTACGCAAGCGCTGCACACCCCGAATCCTCACTGGAGGGCGGGAAGCCATACCTATAGCCTAGTTTTAAAGATGAAAAGTCTCTTTGACATGCAGGACAGAGCTTCCTTCCGCAGTCTCACCCGTAACATTGGAGTACCTAAAGAATATCGTGAGCTACCACTGGTAAAGAACGCGTTGAACGACATATGATAGGTATACCCGAGAAAAATTGGACATGGCCCGGGTCGAACCGACAACTCCGGGTGCCGGATAATGAGATCCCGGGCGTTACCAGTTACCCTACATGCCCTTGAAGTGATGTTATTGATCTAAGTGGCTAGAGATATCTTCCCACACACTCATGTATTTGCGTCCACTAATTGCAATGAGAAACACGTGGAATAAAATCTATTCTCTCCCTCTATTTGTGATCAACTCAGTTCGCGTTACAATATACCTATCTGTACATATCGCTTTAGGGGTGCATTACTCGTCATACATAGATACCTAGATACCTAGGGGAGTTTTAGCGGGGAGCTAAGCAGGAAGACCCACAGTCGTCGGTACCTCACATAAGAGCCCAGCAAGGCGGGGTAGGTAGGCTTTGTCGCAGGGTTCAGAGCTACAGTACTCAAGCCGGGCTTCTCTGGTGGGGAGCGGTAGGAGATACCTCTATACCTAGGTAAGGTACCTTAGGCGGAAGAGGGTTTCTCCTTTGGCGAAAAGGTACCCGGAAAAGTCTTGGCAACGCACATCCAATTTTCTGCCGCGACAGCCCAACACCCGGAGGAGCACCCACAGCGGACTGATTGATACGATTGAATCAATCCCCGACGACGACGACGACAACGACGACGTACACCACCACTATCCTCGAGGTATGTCAAATGAATTTTCGGCCTTTTCTCTTTTTGATTTCCCGCTGCCATTCCGGCCCAATAGGTTAGCAAAGAAGAGAGCTGAAAAAGTGACTAATACGTATCTTTTGCCGCCTTATAGAACCCTGAGCTTCGACCCGTGTGCCCCCCTCTTTCGACTACACATTGCCCGACATCATGGCCGACGTCCAGGAGCTGCTCAAGAAGAAGTTCGGTGGTGCTGCCCCCGCCCGAACTGGTATGTTTCTGTTACTGTTCTTGGTTATATCCCCGCTAGAAGAATCGATCCGACACCGGCAGCGTAAATCGTTGAAATCGTTGAAATCGTTGAAATCGTGAAATCGCAAGGCTGATGGCTGATGGCTGATGAATTGGATCATGATAGGTGGAAAGGGCACGCCCAGACACAAGCAGAAGCGCAATGTCGCCCGCAGCGCCAATGACGACAAGAAGCTGCAGGCCACCCTCAAGAAGCTGAACACTCAGCCCATCCAGGCTATTGAGGAGGTCAACATGTTCAAGAGCGATGGCAACGTCATCCACTTCTCTGCTCCTAAGGGTACGTTTAGCCTGTATTCCCAGGACTCGTGTCGCTTCTCACAAGCATACACACACCATTCTTTAACCCTCCCCCATGTTGCGGCAGACAGATCGTCGCTGACTAATTCGTCCCAATCTTCAGTCCACGCCGCCGTCCCCTCCAACACCTTCGCTATCTACGGTGCCGGCGAGGACAAGGAGCTGACCGAGCTGGTGCCCGGCATCCTCAACCAGCTGGGCCCCGACTCCCTCGCCTCTCTGCGCAAGCTCGCCGAGAGCTACCAGAGCATGACCAAGGACAACAAGGACGGCGATGCTGACGACGACGACATCCCCGACCTTGTCGCCGGCGAGAACTTCGAGAGCAAAGTCGAGTAGGACCCGTCTCTGCGATTGTAGAAAGCTCCCCGCGACATGGAACGACTAAACTTCCCACCGACACGACATGACGAGAACAATGGCATCGCGCATCTGGGCACTGTATCGTGATTCAAACTAGGAAACGAAATGGATGGGTTAAAGGGGAAACAAAATAAGGGATCTAGTAATGGGGGGGGCCAGAGAAACCCCTGATTGGCCATTTGATCTATAGAAGGACATGGGATATTTTATTGCTGCTCATTGCCTTTCTCACTATCGCTCTCTCGCGAAAATAGGGGGAGGTGAATAGGGGTAATGAAGGAATTTGGTAACTGCCCGTTTCTGGTATCTATCTTTCAAATAAGGGGTTTTCATTTTCGTCATCGCCGTTAGTTTGGTCGTTTCTTTCGATCGGGGTAGTCTTTTAGAGTAATGGGTTGGGGGGCGTTTTGAGGATTATCAACCTCCGTCATCAAATCCACCCACCGCTCGTCATGAATGAAAGAAACAAAAAAATAACATACGATACAACTCAAGCTTCCTGGTCGCTATTATTTGGCAAGTTGTATCCGGGCCCTGTGTGCTGGCTTCTGCATAACTCATCATAGCCTGCTTGTTTGAGGTTTTGGTTCGCGACTTTGGGCATGATATCGCAGTAGGATACTCAAAGTCGCGAGATTTCTTAAACGGTTCAGTATTTTGCTTGTTTGTGTCCTCATGTACCGGGACTGGCTGTGTCTATGCTATATGGATGCATAGATGCATGCTCCACATGAATTCGATAAGTCCAGTACTTTGCGTTCAAGGTGACAACTAACCTATCTATCTGGGCACCTATACATATAAACTGCCATGTATCTTCCCTTCAGATGCGAGAAATGAATTCTTTTGCGCAGCAGCGACGGTCTTCGAGAGATCACGACGACGGGACATGTGTAAGCTCCTAGCTACTAGGTATATCCCATAGCACGAAATCCTCGTCTCCCGTGTTTCGCACCCATCCTTTCAACGCGGTGCTCCGCGCGGCTTGCTTGGTGCGCCTGCGGGGTTCTAGGAGGGGGTTGTTGTCCTTTAGATCGCGGTAGGTTTTATTCTGCTGCTCTGTCGGTGGACAGGTGACGCCAAGAGCTTCCTGGATGCGCTTCGCTTCTCGCCTTACACCGTCGTCTTCTCCTTCTCCTGCTTTCTGGTGTTCTTTGGCTGGGAGGTCCGCGACTTGCACGGCTAGACCCCAGATCCTGCGCCGGCTGGCGAAGCTTGCGCCGCGGAGGTGCGCTGACGACGCCTTGTGGCCCTGCAGGACGCCGTTTAGCGTCGTCTCTTCGCGGCCAGACGCTGTCCGCGCTGCGGAGAGGTTACTTGGGGTTATTCTGATTCCGGAAGCGGTCGGTAGACTGATATTCTTGTCGGCTTTTGTGTTTGTGTTTATAATGGATGAGGTACAAGATGAAGAGGAGGAGAGCGCGGTTCGGCGCGAGAAGGAGAATTCAACATCGGTTGTCTTGATTGTGAAAGGTCGGAATTTATAACCTCCTGTCCAGTCCTTGCTCTGTGTGACTAAGGGTGCCATGCGGGCTTCTTGATGTAAGCCCGCTTCTTCTCTGGCACCGTTTCCATCCCAACAGTCCTGCCCGTCTGAGAATGCCCGCCTGCACCCTGAGGCGCTGTATTGGGTTCTGGGCAGGATCAGGGTTGATATGTATGCGTGCTCTGGGCTCACGAGAAGCGATGTGGGAGAAGAGAGGAGGGAGGTGCATTGGTGCAGTGAGAGCTTGTCTGAGCAGGACTTGGATAGAGTCGGGGGCGCGTCGCCTCTCGATGGCTTGCGACGGACGATGCCGAGATGGGAGAAATATCCTCTTCCAAGTAGAAGTTCGTCCGGCCCTGGAGAGGGTGGGTGTGGGGTGATAGGAGAAGAATGGGAGGGAGACCCCTGAGGTGGAATAGTCCATGGCGTCGCGTCTTCTTGAGACGCCATGGTGAGCTCCATGCTTGCGTCCCCGCCTACGATTGATATGAGTCTTTGATCCCGTGAAGAAGAAACTAAAAAAAGAGAAATGCATGATGACGGTGATATTTATAAACCTACAAGGAGCTTCGGAGCAATACATGTGTAACAACACGTCCTCCCTCCACGTAAAAGGCTGACCATGCCATTTCACGCCATCATAATGAGAATTGACAGATTCAGAGGTAGTCGTTACCTCAGCGCTGCTCCGGCGCCGTATGAACTCGGATGAACCCTTGGAGCCACTCGCCACTGCTCGGCATTCGTCTAGCACGAAGCAGTTGAAGGCGCGGATGGCGAGGACCTCGGCATGCCAATCGTGCAATACATTACCCTGAGCTCGGGGAAGTTTCGATGAAGGGATGCATTTCATGCCTGTTCTGCGTATACCCTACTGTTAGCGGCGAGCATGTACATGAATCGTGTAAGTCGATGGGTAGAGGACATACGCTAAAGATAGACATGTCAACCTGCCGGTTTTTTCTAATGGAGTCGTTAGCGATATATATATCATTAAAGAAATATAACTTGAATGATGGTATTTCTACCTGGCAACTTTTAAAGCTGGTTGGATAGACATATCAAACGTGGATGTTAGAGTAGAATACCTTCGGCGACGATACCGCTCAGGGGTACCCATTCGCGGAGGCCATTGTCACGAATGACAGGTTTGCGCTTCGCTGGTAACTTATCAAATTCTTTTTGCACCAGAGATGCTATCAGGTCTGAATTAGCGGTCATATCCTGGGAGGCATTCTGGGTATTTGTTCCCATTCATGTTGGTAACGTGCAAGTGTCTTTACTGGTAGTCTACCTGGATAATATTAAGGTATCAAAGAGAACCTTAATGTAAGTATATGCATGTATCGAGGTTAGATCTTTTGACTACCTAGGTAGGTAAGCGAGTCTATCAGCCACACTTCGGCAGTGCAAAAAGGTGAAAGGACCCTAAGGGCGGGGCTGAGGTTGGTGGCTTAGTCATGGCAGCCCACAATTGCACGCGCACTTTGGACTTTTCGAAATTCGACGCTTGGTGTGTCTTTGAGCCGCCTCCTCCAGAATCCCCCCCAACACCACGACTCTACTAACCACCACAGCCGACTTAAGTTCTCACCACCACCAACCGTCAATATGAGAACTTACGACGACTCCTTCTCTGGCCAGAGAATCTACCCTGGCAAGGTACATATTTGCCGCCCATCTTTCCAGCAGAACTTACACCGGCTGGCCGTCATAACGATCGCATTGGAGTCTCGGTCGCACGAATTGGGGGTATCTGAAATTGCTGGATGAGACGAAAACATTATTGGGACGCGCATCGACATAGAATGGCATGGTCTTCTCCTGTGATGCCGAGACTTCCAATGACGACGTTGTGACGGCCTGGCTATTCTCGTCACTCCCAACTTGCCACGTTATTTCGCTGCATGGACAATTGTGCTGATGGTGTTTTCTCGGTTCTAGGGTAAGCTCTACGTCAGAGGTGACAGCAAAATCTTCCGATTCCAGAACGGCAAGTCAGAG